TCCACGGGACTCCTCTTTAGCGTCCCCAGTTTTTGCGAAGCCGAGAAGCTGATACCCTCTATGCTTCAACCTATCTAAGACCTTTGGCCGGAACAGACCCCCACCAGACAGAAAAAAGGGTGGGGCTGGATATTCTTCACAGCTCACAGAGAACGAGCGTATCAGGTAAGTACCAACGCCCTTTCTCCCATGAGCTATTAGAGCATCCAGTAGTGGGACATACCAAAGCTTGGAACTGTCCTAAGGGAGGGACTCCGTCTGGGTTGAAGTCCTCTCCGAGTCCGTGTGAACTTGTTGCAAGACCCTCCTACCAAATGAAGCTTCAGCAGTTGCAAATACATCAATTGTATAATTCCTAATGAATGGGGAAGGTGAAGCCTAGGTTGCCACTCAACAAATCTCCTCTATGGTGGCCTGTGTGGCCCATGCTGCTGAAGTTGCTGCACTCCTGGTGGAGTGAGCAGTAATGCCTTGGGGCACTAGAATCGAGTGGGACTCATATGACTTTGCAATTGTGGCCCTAAACCATCTGCCTATGGTAGAAGAAGAAACCTTGTGCCCCAGAGTGTTTGGTTGAAAAGTCACGAAGAGAGCCTCCGTTTTCCTTGAAGGCGCTGTGTGATCTATGCATATGCATAGAGGCCTTCTTACATTCAAACGGTGCCATTGGTGTTCGAGTCTGTGAGTTGGGCATAAACAAAAATTTCGAAGCACAAGCTCTTGTACCCTGTGGAATGCCGAATTGATTTTTAGAGTAAAGATTGGATCAGGTCTGAGGACAACTCTGTCCAAATGGAAAATATAGAGATCCTTAGGCACAGATGAGGCTGCCAGTTTGGAGATTCTCCGTGCCGATGTAATTGCGATTAAGAAAACAACCTTATACTTTAGAAAACGAAGAGTCGTGGTCCTTAGTGGTTCGAAAGACCCGTACTAAGTGCCGTTAACACCTTGTTGAGATCCCAAGTCGGGTAACAGTGCACAAGGGCCCGCAAGTTCCTGGCCCCACGGAGGAAACTATGAATGCATGGATGATGGGAAATGGAGTTGAGGTCCCCCCAAGATATAACCAAAGCCAGGGCCGCCACTTGTCTCCACAGGTTATTTGGCGATAGGCCCCTGTTCAGACCCTCCTGCAAAAAATCCAATAGTTGTGGTACCGAAGAAGTGGGATCAATCTGAAAATGCCTACACCAAGGGCAGAAAATGGCCAAGGTGGCATCGTAGATATGGTTCGTCGAAGGATGTCTAGCTACCTGTATGGTGTCAATGACCTGATTGGAATTTTGTTTGCCTCTCAGACGTTACCGCTCAATTTCCATACAGCTAGGGTCTGGGTGCAGAACTGGGCCTTGAGACAGCAAGATGCCTGATGAGGAGATCCTCCATGGTGGCTCCGTTGACAAGTCCCTTAGGTCTGAGAACCATGTGCGGTGTGGCCAGTAAGGGGCCACTAATAACAATTCTGCCCTCTCCTCCAGAAGCTTCTGTATCAGTCTGGAGATCACAGGAAGGGGTGGGAACGCATATAGCAGTCCGGGGAGGGGGGGGCAGCGACAGTGGAGGGCATTGACGTCCTCTGCCCCTTGAGAAGGGTATCAGGTCAATAATAGGTTGTCTTAATCGCTGAACTGCCTCCTGAAAGATCTTCAGATCTAGAAGCCACTCGGCTTGGTCGATCGTGGCCCTGCTGAGCCAGTCTGCCTGAACGTTCGCTAGCCCTGATATATGTTCCGCCTTCAGGGATAGGAGATTGTGCTCGGCCTACAGGAACAATCTTTCTGCCTCCTTCATAAGTTAACTGGGCGGAATGAGTGCCCCCCCTTTTTGTTTATATGGGCCTTTGTTGTTATGTTGTCTGTCAAGACAAGAACATGTTTGGACCAAAGGTGCAGAAGGAATTTGCGGAGGGACAGGTAAACCGCTCTCAGTTCTAACCAGTTGATGTTGTGCGACCTCTCTGGAGTGGACTAAGTCCCTTGTGCCGTGTGTGAATGGTAATGGGCTCCCCATCCCACTCGACTGTGACTGTTGACCTGTGTGGGTCCTTGAAGGTACAACCTCTGTTTATCGTGGAAATTGTCCACCACCATAGAGATCTGAGGACGGTTGGAGGTACTATAACACGAATTTTGGCGTTGTCTCTCCCCGAGCATTGATACGGTAACAGAAACCACTGCAGGGTCCTTGCATGGAAACGAGCCCAAGGGACAATAGAAATACAAGAGATCATCTTCCCTAGTAGTTGAGATAGGAGAGCTAGTTGTACCCTCTTGAGGGTTCTGATCTCCTGTGCTAGTCCACCGATGCTCTCTTGTCTGTCTGGGGAGAGGAAAACTTTGCCCTCTACAGTATCAATAATGGCCCCTAGGTGAATCAATATGGTAAAAGGTGATAAATGGCTTTTTGCCCAATTTATATAAAAACCATGGTGTTGAAGGGTCATTAGAGTAATGCGAGTATCTCTATTGGCCTGTTGGAAGGATGATGCCAGTAGTAAAATGTCGTCCAAATAACACTGGAGACAGATAGGCCTGTCCCTGAGGGATGCAGCCAGGGCAGCCAAGACCTTGGTAAAAGTCCTGGGTGCGGATGCTAGGTCAAAAGGGAGGGCAATGTATTCATAATGTATGTTGTTGAAACAGAACCTGAGAAATTGAGTGTGGGAAGGCCTGATCGGTATGTGCAAATATGCCTCCATAACATCTATGGACGTAAGCATGTCATCCCGACTGATACCGAGCAAAATAGACTATAGAGTGGTCATTTTAAATTTTCAGTAAACTAGGAATTGGTTCAGGCGTTTAAGGTCCAAAATTGCCCTCCATCTCCCCAAACTTTTTGGCATCACAAAGGGATGGAAATAAAAGCCCTGATCTTGTTGTTATGGTGGGACAGGTTGAATGGCTTATTTCTAATAAGTGTGTTATAGCCGTTTGCATAAGGGATCGTTTCCCTGGATCCCTGGAAAGTGGGCATTTCATAAAAAAATGGGGGGGGGGGGGGGTGTTGGAGTGAAACTCCAGGGCCAAACCGAACCTGATGGTGTCACTGACCCATACATCAGAGGTACAGGAGTCCCACTGATCGGCAAATAATCTTAAACGGCCGCCAATGGGAACGTCCTGGTGGCCTCTATTTGGACCAGCGAAAAGGCCTGGCTCCTGACCCCCGAAACTGCCTCTTGTTTGGGCCTCCTCGCCTGTTTCTGTCCCCAAACTCAGATCTCTCTGACTATTGTCTATATCCTGATGGTCTTTGATATCTTGGATAAGAAGGTCCCTGATAAAAAGTACGAAAGGGACCTCTTCCAAAAGGTTGGGAAGTTCTGGGTTCTGACTTTCGAAAAAGAGAGGGGAGGAATAGACCCGTAAATACAGGTTGGTCAGGAATGAGGCCCTCGTCGTACGACATCCCCCTCTCCAGTGGGTTCACCTCTGACAAGCTCTGGTCTATGGTGTGAATTGACCCTTCTTCCATTTATTCAATTGGGTCAAATTTGTCTCCCAGGTCATTCGGGCCCAGTGATGGCATATCTGGGGGAATGGGGAGCCCCACTTGGGGGGTACCTGAGTGAAATGCTGTTCAATACGCCCATGGACCGCTCAGAGAGGGATCTGCAGCCCACAGCTTTTAGCTTTTAGCTTCTAGCCCGAACCGCTTGTTGGACGCCTGTTATGCCCCTTTGAATTGCCAACTCCATCCACGCCCTCATGTTGGCCGGGATTTCCTCTGGAAGTATCCCTTCCTGGCAAAGGCCAGAATCAATGGGTGTAAATGTTGCCTCCGGGGCCCTCCTAGAGGCGATCTCAGTGGATGGAACTTCTTGAGGAATCTGTCTATATACACAAATCCAGGGGCGAGGGTGGAGGACTTGGGGCTGAGCCATGTTAAGCGGAAGCTGTGATGGTGTTGCGGTCTGCCCCTTTGTACCTTTTTGAACTTGTTTTTCTAAGGCCTGATGGCATCTACATGCGTCCTTTTCGGCTGCCTTAGAAGGCTTTTTGGGCTCCGTGGCCTGTCCCGGGCCTTGGATGCTGCTCTGGTTCTAGAACTGTTGCTTGCCATTTCAGATCTTGTTTATGGCTCAAATTGTTAATGAGGCTATGAGGTATGGTGGTTGGCACACCTAGGAGCCTGCTCCCTTAAGGGGAAGGGGATCCTTGTTAATGGTCTGTCCTCCTTTTTGTTTATTATATCTTTTTTGTTATTTATTTATTTTTATTCTTTTATTTTTGAATATTAGAATTATAATATAGATCATTTGGGAGTATTTAAGACTCCTTCAATTGCTCCTAATCTGAAAGTAAAATCTTCCAATTTGAATTAATGTCAAATGTAAAGAAATAATTCCAATTGAACTGCAGAACACCCCCTCAGACCGATTCCCTGGTTAATGGAAAACACGGCCTGCAACTGGTAATTGTCCAGGCGTTAGCGCCTATTGCCCCCAGTTGAGCTGCTGAAAATTATTGCTGTTAGGATGTGCCAACAGTCAAATTATCCTTCTACACACCCCCAGAAGAATCGGGGGTAGAGGGGTCTTTCCCCAGGTCCCCAGAAAGGGAAACCAAGTAAGGGGGCCTCTCACAGTCCATACACAGACTCACCACATGGCTGGATTTAAAATGGAAGCCACCACGTGGTATATTTGAAAGAAGCAGCTTATCAACCGCCCGATCTGCTGTAGGCAAAATCGATCTGCAGGGAAGGTACAGAGGCGCTAAGCTTCTGTCCTGGAAGGTGTTCTGCTGGGGAGAAGCCTCAGCTGTTGCCTGCACTCTGCAGCAGGCGATCGGGGCAATAAGAGCATCAGTGGTCGTGGTTTTGGAGGTTGTGCCTCGTGGCTAACGGAGCGCTGAGGGTGCACTCAGAGGTTTTACGAGCTCCGATGGCCCGGTAGATGTTAAGGGGCCATCAGGGGCTGTTGAATCTCGATGGTATGAATGAATTCCCCAATCAATTGAATTCCTGGTCTCTCTAAATGCTCTAGCTCTGTTCAGGGTAAGGTAGAAGCTTCCTGTTCCTACGAAGGCTGAGCTAAAACTGTGGACGCTAAGGAGTAGTCCCATGGAGGAGGAGGAGCATCCTCAGATGTTAAGCCCAGCCTAACTAGGAAAAGACTGAAGCACCTCCCACTACTGGATACTCTGAACAGCTCATGGGAGAAATATGTAAAATCATGTCCTATTTGTGCAGTCAACAAAACAAAGATTGGTAAACCGATGGGTTGACTACAAACTGTATCTGAGCCAACAAAACCATGGCATGACATCAGCATGGATTTTATCATTGATCTACCAAACAATCATGGGTACACTGTTACATGGACTGTAATCGATTTGTTTTCTAAGCAGGCACATTTCATTCCCTGTAAAGGATTACTATCGGCTAGAAAATTGGTGGACCTATTTATAAAACATATTTACAGGTTACATGGAATACCTCAATGCATCATATCGGATAGAGGAGTACAATTTACCGCAAAGTTTTGGCAAGAATTTGTTCATCTGATTGGATCGACTCAAGGGCTGAGTACAACCTATCATCCTTGTACAAACAGAGCAGTTGAGAGAGCTAGTGCTGCCATTGAGCAGTACTTGCGATGTTACATAACATACCAACAAAGCAATTGGGTAGACCTGTTCTCTTATGCCGAAATAGCTTCTAACAATACTGTGCACAACAGTACTGGGTATTCCCCGTTTCAAATAGTTAGCGGTACAGAATTCATCCCAATACCTGAGTGGCCTCACAAATCCCAAGAGACAAGTGCTGTTAACACATGGTCAGACAATATAAGAAGCACATGGAAAGCAGTAAATTTAGCATTGCGCAAAGCACAGGTGGAATATAAAAAACAAACGGATAAAAAAAGATCTGCGCAGGTCCAATATAAAGTGGGGAATTGGGTGTACCTATTGACTAAATATATACATGTGGGTCTAGCTAGTAAAAAACTGGGACCAAAATATATTGGACCATTTCTAGTAGTCCAGATAATAAACCCTGTTACTGTAGGTCTTCAGCTACCACCACGTTTCAAAAAGATCCATCCTGTATTTCACATCAATCTCCTTAAGCCTGCTGATATGACAAGGCAGGAGCCAAAACTTAAAACAACGGGTCCGATTCATGATGATCATTATGAAATTGACGAAATACTTGATTCCCGCCATAGGCGGGGTGTATTACACTATCTGGTACATTGGAGAGGCTATCCCATCACAGACGCCTCGTGGGTACCATATACCAATGTGTCCACTCCTCGATTGCATAGACATTTTCATAAATCACATCCCACGAAGGCAGGTGGGAGGAGAGGTGCATTAGGACATTTGTGGTAACTGTATTTTCTGTATTGCAGATGAAGCCATGGTAGAGGGGGCAGCCTGTCAGGCTTCAGTGATCCGGATGCTTTCCCAGGGTGAAGCCCGACACAATGACAGCCTGCTACATTCGTTAATGAGCTCCAGCTGGGAAGCAGCTCGAATCACGCCGGCAATGGGGGGAAATGCTTTGTTGCCGGCTCAATTGGCAAAAGAAATGGCTGTTTTGGAGCCTTGGGATCTCAGTCATGGGACTTACTTGGTGTTGCAGAAATTCTTTAGGCGACACAGGGCGGCGTGACAGCTCACGCAGAAGCCATAGTGATTTACCAATGCTGTTTTCAATGAGGACAGCTGCATACTCGGCGGGGGGGGGGGGGGGCAGGCGGCTATTGGGGGGGTGGGATTACAAGAAGGAAGGAATAGCTGCAATTAGCCCTGCGGGGAAGAGGCGTGGGGAATTAGTTGGGAGGGCGGATGTTAGGTTAGTTAGCAAGGGGGGAAGTGTATATTTAAAGCGCTGAGAGGCAGTTGCTCTCAGCACTGGCTTTACAGGGCATTTTGCCTTTGTTGCCTGTTTGGAGGAACGTATCCAATAAACTATTACCTTGCCTGACGAACATGAGTAAAGTAATTTGTGAGTACAGTTCCTACTTGCCAAGGAGAGCTGACACTCTGATTCTATAAATTTGGCAGATCTTTGGATGCAACACCAAGTGTTATAACTAGAAATTAGAACTGGCTACAACAAAGAACCTGAACAAACAAGTAATTTTATATGATATTTTGTTGGGGGGGGGGGGGGAGTCCAGGAATTAAGACAAGTTTTTGCAGGATGTTAGGATTTTAATTCTGTTAGATAATTGTGTAATGAATCCAGGTCAACAGCATTACTTTAATTTTCTAAGTTAAGAAGATCAGCTATGGACACAGAAAGCTTCTATAGTTCCCCCCACGACTCAGCTCACCCTGACCATACCTGCCTTTGGAAAGCACGGAAGACCTGGTTTTTTCTTCAGGCATTGGCATGACACAATGGATGTGCTTCCTCCTGGCAGGTAATGTTTTTATACTTTTCTATTTTGTGGTTTTATGGAATGTATTTTTATTATTTGGTGATGCACTCTGTTGTTATTTGATGATGAATCATGTGCTAAGTGGGTGGCAAAACAAAGGAATAAATAAAGGAAATAAAGCCAGCAAAAGAGCTGGAATCATTAAGTATCCCAAATAGGATAACCTGCCTCTGGGATAAAGCTCATTGCAGAAAACTCCTGCCTCTCCCAGAACAATAAATATGTTACCTTGAGGCCAAAGTAGTTCACTTGACAAAAAGCAAGAGATGTAAAAAGATTGGTAGATGGGGGGGGGGGGGGGGGGAGATAATACAGTGGTCTCTCACTTCTGAGTGACAATTCCTGCTCTGTCATAGAAAATTAGATCTTGGGGAAGGATGGTGTCATGTTGAAGAAATAATCTTTTTGAAGGGAATAATTCCCTAAGAGCTGAAAAAAATATCCTCCCCTAAAACATCCATCCAGGACCCTGAACTTGGGATAGTGAATGAATCAATTAAAACTACGAAGATGATTCAATGGTGGATGTATGGAATTTTATTGTTGGATAAGAAGAGGCTGACCTAGAAGATGGGTTAAACATGCGATCAGTTTACAGTCATTACATTGTCACAAATGTCCCTCCCCATGAATTCGCTGACCCCTTGGGCCAATTTAGATTTGACCACTAGGTTGACTAGATTCTTGTATTAGAAGTAGCAATAATAAACTTTCTGTGCTTTGAACTCAATGGTTATTTGCACCTGACAGTTCTCCGTGTCTATGAAAAGTTATGGATAACATTGGTCATCTAGATCAGTGGTCCCCAACCTTTTTTGTACCAGGGACCAGTTTCATGCAGAAACACTTTTTCAAGGACCGGGGGGGGGGAGGAGTCCGAGTTTGGTGGTTTGCTTGCAGACGTTTCATTACCTGACTAGGTAACATCTGACGTTGTTACCTAGTCGGGTAATAAAACGTCTGCCAGCAAACCACCAAGTTCAGGGAGCGCCAATGCCTCCTCATCGCAACCCTGAGCGACAGATATTCTCTTGTATTGGGACATTTAAAACGGAGGGTTTCAGCTGCAGATTCAGCAACTGAGGAGCGCCTTCAAAACTGACCGCTGGGCGGCGCGGCCCACGGCTGTCTCCGCGGCTCAGGACAAGTCCCTGCAGGATGGCTGAGAAGCCCCGCCTCTTGGCCCTGCCTCTCTCAGCCTCATCCCTCAGGTGTCTGCCTCGTTCCTCTCTCAGTCGCTCTCTTGCTCCTCCACTAGCCCAGGAAGAAACTGCTTCAAAGAAGCCGGCAGGGTGGCTTTTCCTGTCAGCGCAGCTCCTCCGAAGCGCCCGTTCACCCCCACCCCACCACCCGCGGTTCAATCCAGTGCTCCTTTCTGCCTGCCTGCCTGCCTTCGTTTCTGGTTGTTTCGGAGCAGCTTTGGCTGAGAAAAAGAGGCGAATAGTTATTATTCTCAGCCGAAGCTGCTCCGAAACAACCAGAAATGAAGGCAGGCAGGCAGGCAGAACGGAGCACTGGATTGAACCTGGATTGATTGGCGGCGGGGTGGGGGTGAACGGGCGCTTCGGGGGAGCTGCGCTGACAGGAAAAGCCACCCTGCCGGCTTCTTTGAAGCAGTTTCTTCCTGGGCTGGTGGAGGAGCGAGAGAGCGACTGAGAGAGGAACGAGGCGGGAGGAAACCGAAGCCACTGAGCCGGAGAGCAGGACAGGCTTTGGTTGCTTCCTCCCTCCCCTTCTTTCATTTGTGTCCTTGATCCCTGATCCCAGCAGCATTCACCGAAGGCAAAGAAAGCCGCCATTTTTATTTTATTTTTTATTTTCTTTGCGGCCCGGTGCAAAGTGATCCACGGACCGGTACCGGTCCGTGGCCCGGTGGTTGGGGACCCCTGATCTAGATAGCCTAATAATCTTGTGCAGAGTCATGGAAATCAATTTCAAATTGTTAAATGGTAATTTGGAGGGTAGAATTTCTAAGATTCTATATTTCTCTATTACCTGCTTAGGTTAGCTAGATACGTAGAACTGAGATATTGCAACTTGTGGATGAATTGAATGGAAAAGTAGGAAAGGTTTATTAAGAGCTTGAGAAGGCATTTTGTGACCAATGAATCACATGGGGAAAATGTTTCCACTAAATTGAAGTGAAATTGGCCTGTTAACATTAACACTCAAAATTTTTAAACTAAACTCTGGAAAAGGGGTGTAGTGAGCCTATGAACAACATTTAGGTAATGAAAATAAATTAGTAACCAGCAAACAAAAAACTACAATACATTTGAAATGCACAAAAAGCTAAGTAGAGGGGCTAACAAAATCTAGCAATCTTAGTGACCAAATGAAAACATTTTTTTTTATTTTGAAAAAATAATCAATTTCAGAATCTGAGATTAAAGGAAACAAAACATATGTCCCCATGAGCAGTTGTTACATCAGGAATCTAGAAAGAGGGTAGCATAACAAGTCAAAAAAGAAAACTCCAGAGTTAATAGAAGAAATCAAATCTATTCTGGGTAAATAGAAAACTTTATTAAAGATAAAATTATTAAGCACACTCAAGGACATAATTTCTAAAGAATAATCAAGTCTGAATTTAACTGTTTTTCTTTACTCTTTTAGAAACATCTGAACATAACTGTGAGGATAAATGTGATCATTTAGACCAGGGGTTCTCCACCTTTTCTTCACTATGGACACCCTTTAAACACCTTTTGCAGCCAAGGACAATGGCCATGGACCACCAAAACCTAACTCAAGATTTAAATAATTACA